TTTTGCAAATCAGAAAAAAACGAAGAGGCGAATCCGAGAACCAACAAATTAAATTGGTGTGGCCTAATGAATATTCATGTTCATGTTAGGGGGTAATTTCTATTGAACATCATGAGCATATTTGGTGTTTCTTGTCAACCAAAGTTGGGATGTCAACATGTCAGATGTTGGGCCTCACTTACCCACCCATGTGACAGGAAAATGTTGTTTAAATTACTGATTAGTTAACAAATTTGGAATCAGTCGTTCTTCCTGAAAAATTGTGTTGTATGATTTCCCAAGGGAGGGACCAGATCAAATGAATACCCGTAACTGATGTCATACTGGTTGCCGCCCATAGCAGTTAAATTACTGTTAATAACATTGACTATTGTCAAGCCAACAATGAAGATACAATCAGTTCTCAAATTGTCTCTCACCTGATAGGAACTCCCAATAATGTCACAATATTATTCAAAAATGTATATTTTTCACAGTGCTTTTATTTCCCAATAGGAAAGATTTTAAAAAGCAATTCTGTAATGCAGTAGTAATACATCAGAAATCCATATTTGTAGTGTCATGAATTTGCGGTGGAGATGTCACTGAAAAACTTCAACAATAAAATTTTAGTGGAAGTTTCAAGATGACATCCACATAATTGTCAAACCAACAGTCAACACATGAAGGTCTCCTAATTTTTGTTATCATCTCTAAGGCAAGAGAAGTCACCAGATCAGCTCTAGGAAATCCTGATAATGTTTATTGTTCAAACACCTGGTAGCCACTTTGCTCTTTTCAGCAAGCATTGCTTGGTATGTTACCGAATTACTTGTTATTTTAATGATATTTGCTCTTGTATAGTATGTTTTTAAAAGGTTGCAATGAAGAAGAGATGCATTTGAGTAAGTAAGAAAAATGTTGCTGTTCGTATTGGATTTGCACAATGTTCTATTAACAATGTCCAATATTTGCCCAATACTTGGTTTTGGCTGGTCTCATTAAGTCATTCTCATAAGACTTTCAAAAACAGCAGAATTACAATGCTACAATTGAAGCCTTCAAGGTCTTTGTGCTGAATGTTGAATGACACTTCCTCAACTCAGTTGTACTGTATTATACAGCATCTGTAACGTAAGTTCTATTGTACCAAAGTCAGACATATTTGTGCTTATTGTTAACAAGTAGAGCTGTATTGGGTTGAGAGTCTCTTGCCAGGTTTTTATACATTTGCTTTGAAAAAAAAAGTATTTCTAATCTATAAAGATTTTTGTAGTACTGTTTTGAAAATGACCCATAGGACAGCTGCATTATAGACTTTACCCTTCATTGCATCAGCTCAAAGTCATTAATATTGATATTGATGTCATCAGGCAGATGGCTGCAGCTGGATTTTTGATCTAATACGGGCTGTTTAATGGCATTTGGCATAGGAAAAATGTTGTTTCCTGTTTCAGCCATGAGAAAATTAGTTTTTTTTTTCTTTTCTATCTTTTAGTAGACTTTGGTGATCTCTGGTGATCCAACTTACACAATACAGTTTAAGAAAGTAAAACTTACACAAGGAGACTTATATTTTCAATGTCAATGTTCAGAGTTCTCCAGAAAACTGGAGATATAATAAGAGTAGTCTTGCCTGTCATCTTTATCTGTTGTATTTAGAATGACTGGTGAAAAGATGTCATTATCTAAATAGACATCATACTGTCTTGTCAAGTTGTCATTTTGTTGACTCCTCAGTAAACGACCCTGTACAATGAAGAACTGCCATAAGTTCTTTAAACCTCATCTGCACAAAGGTCAGAAGGTTTGCTTGGTATTAGAATAATGTATTGAAATGTGTTAAAATAATGTTATGTATGAGGGATATACATATCACCTGTCTCGTCCGTTGGAATTTGTATATGCAAACTCTTTGCAATTCAGGAAGTTTTATCCCTACTGTTAGCCTCCATAGCATGCCAAAAACTGGGGTTTTGGGGGTCTTCAGGGTCTTTGGGAGCTTTTATGTGCTATTTTCTGATTGCATATAGACAACATAGCCGGCCTGGTTGAATTAGAACTGGGCTAATCAGAAAACAGCCGAAGACCACCAAGACCCCAGTTCTTTAAGCCTGCTACGGAGGCTACCTGCTGTAAGGTTTGCTTTTTGGTGTCACAAATAAATAAAGTCTTTATTTCTTTGTCCCCATTCTCTAGATTGACATCACATAGTCTTGTCAAGTTATGATTTTCATATTGCTGGCTGCTCAGTAAACAATTCCTTTTGTCCCCAGATTGGACCACCTCAGCCACTCAGCCGGGGAAGCAGACAGCTTAGGGGACGGTGCTGTGAATGGTATGAACAGTCCGACTGGCCCGGGAAAAAGAGTACGCAGGCCGTCCACCATGTATGCTGAGGGATACGAAACTAGCGAATCAGTGAGTGCAACGCTATCTGGTTGAAGAGAGCTATGCTGTCCCTTACTGTACCATAATTTTGTGAGATTCCAAACCACCCGAACTTTGACTAGCGAATCAGTGAGTGCACCGCTATCTGGTTGGAAGAGCACATTGGCAGAACGTACTGTGCCTGTATGAAACCCTGATTTTTCCTGGTTTTCGTTGGCTATTCAGGGGTTAAAATACCCGGTCTCGCAGTCTCGCCGCGCAAGTAATTTTTTCTGTGCGAGACTTATTCGGAAAGCCAGGTTGCCCAGAGCGCAAGTTATTTTTACAGCGGCTGGGTTTACGGCCAGCGGCTTCTGAAATAAACAGTGCCGCGGTCCCGCCTGATAACATCCCGCCTCGGCCTGCCGGCCTGCACGTGAGCAGTCCCTCTACTCAAATAACAGCGGGTGTTGATAATTTGGCGTTTCGCCTCCCTGAGCACGTGCGCGTAGGGATTTAATTCCAATATTTCCCCGATAAATGTGTTCGTCATTCGAGTTTTCTTCGGCCGAGCGGCGTGGATCGAGCCGGCTGTGCGCGTGAAGTTTTCGGCGGTTCCGCGGAAAAATAATCCATCCCCAGAAGAAATGTCACGCATGAAAATAACAACTATACCTTAGTTTCCCCGTTTTATGAGTTTTTGAGGCCGTGAAATGTTTAAAACGGTTGAAATTTGTCCAAAAAACCAGCTCGAAAGACTGAGAAATAATGGCCAACATGGCCGACACATGTTGACAACAAAAGTGGTCAAAGGTCAAGTTAGCATCCAAACGTACAGGACATTGCAATGTGCTATAAAAACGATGCTTTAAACGCATGAAATTATTTTTCGGCAACAACAGAAATAAAAATTCACTCATATTTTTAGAAGGTTAATTTTCAAACATTACTGTGAAATTTTTTCAAATTTATTGGTTTCTAGCTTCAGAATATAATAGTTGTTTCTTAGAATGTGCGGTTGGATGCTGTGAAGGACTTGACATATATTAAGTATATTAGACATATATTAGACATATATTAGACATTAGAGATTTAATATGATCATGCCTACCAGTTTTTGAGTAGGAGTCTCATAGACATAATCACAATTTTATTTGTTCAGCTGTGTCAATATGTGATTTTGTTTGGGATATGATAGGGTTACTACTACTAGCTTAGTTATATTTGGTTTAGTTTATTAAGATGTTGGTAACACCTACTTGCTCCAAGTTCCAGGTAGTAAATACATGTACATTTTGTATCATGTATTTTTCACTTGTTGAACTTGTGGAAGCACCGTTGGCCCCCGGTTAGGGGTCATCCGGGGAACCTATGCCCAATTTTTCAAATTAAGGGTGCTAACAGTACTCAGTAGTTGCACGGCTGTGTCAGAACTTACCAGTGAATAACACAAGACAAGTTTGAGTTTACTTCAATCTTTCTGTCTTTGACTCTTTGATAGAAGTATTTATTAAAGAGTTTTCATCTTAATTTAGCCAAGTTGCTCGAGTTATGCTGGTGTAACTGCATTGCCATGGGTTTAGGTCCGGAATCATAAGGTACGGACCTGAACCTAAACCTCTGGTTATGAGTCCAGAACCTGAACGTGGGTTAAGGTCCACATCCCTAAGTACAAGGTGGATTGGTCATATTGAGAGAGCTCTGGGTGTTAATGGAAGAAGGCCCAGGCAGGACGAGGCAGATGATGAAACCAGCAGTTCTTCCGGCTCAGAGTCGGAGATGTGAAGGTAGCATTTTTGAATAAACGATGATGTTTGACAGCTGTTGTGTTTGCTACTTGATAAACAAACCTATTAATTGATAAAAAGAAAGGATAATGGATATTGGGTAGCAGATTTGAAGAATCCAGTTCCTTTGAAATGGGGCAACCTGAAATCCTGATGGGGCAACCTGGCTTTTGACCCAGGTTGCCGCCCGGGCAACCTGGAAAAAAAAAGTATTTTAACCCCTGCTATTGTTTTCAATGTTGCATCAGAATTTCGCCTGTTGCAGACATTTTTTTCCAACACAACATTTGGAAACTACATATGGGATGTGCATGAATGCAACCTTATGTGAGACATTCTGCCAAAGTGTTATGCACAATACACAATGGGTTTTATGCAGGTGCAGTACATTCTGCCAATGAGCGGTTGAATGGAGCTACATGTTTTCCCTTACCATATCTTTGGTGTGTTTCCAACCCACCACATAACTTTGAATCAGTGAATCAGTGAAGTCTCCTTCCTTGTTTTACACTTCTGTAACTGGAAGTTCAAAAATTTACATTGAAAATACTGTAAATTTGCATTGAAAATACTGTAAATCACTTTGAATTCAGTCATTTCTGTGTGGCAAATTTATCATTTTCGCGAACAAATAATTCGCCAACTTTCTCTCTTCTGCACCTGCCACTACTGCGAACATTTGGTACCGCAAACATGCCCATTTTTCTCAGACCCCGAACTGTAGCTACTGTGAATATAAAATGTAAGGCAACCACTTAAATCTTGTTTGTACCTGAAAATTGACAATCAAGTGTCTTACTGAGTTTTGCCTTGTTCCAGAAGCAGGCTGCTAAGAAACCAGGCCGCATGACAAACCAGTTGCAGTATTTGTTAAAAGTGGTGATGAAAGCAGTATGGAAGCACAACTTCGCCTGGCCCTTCCACGAGCCTGTGGATTGGGTGAAGCTGAACATACCAGTAAGTCTTATTGGTCCATTTCTGTGAACATCAGTGATACTCTTGTCTCATTGGCTGAATTCTGTGAACTTCAGTGTTACTAGGCTGAACATACCAGTAAGTCTCATTGGTTGATTTCTGTGAGCATCAGTGTTAACTTGCCGAACATAACCAGTAAGTTTCATTAGTTCATTTCTGTGAACATCAGTGTTACTTTGCTGATCATACCAGTAAGTCTCATTGGCTGATATCGGTGAACTTCAGATTTACTTCTAGCGCATATTCGTCTTGGTCGTTATCTGGTTTTGATGTAGAACAAACGACCAAAAGAAATTGTACACGGCCTTTTTGCTAACAAGACAGCTGTACTTTGTGTAACACGTGTGACTATGCAAAGAATGCCCACAGTTAGTGATCTTGCAACAAATGTGACAAGGGGCACAGACCCCAAAAAACATGGCATTTTCTTTACACATTTTGCAATCTATGATGATTCTTAATATAGATCTGCACCCGATTTGATTCCAAGCTGAAACGAGTTCCACCTGAGATTGCAAATAGTCCTACTGTAAGCTTAACACCAAGCTTCTATGTTTGAGAACTAATTTTGCTCTATTTTTCTTGCCACCAACAGGACTACCCGAAGATAATCAAAACTCCTATGGACCTGGGAACCATCAAAAAGCGATTGGAGACCAACTACTATTACAGTGCCAAGGAGTGTATTCAAGATTTCAACTTAATGTTTACCAATTGTTACGTTTACAACAAGCCAGGAGAGGTGGGTGTTGCCAACGTTCTTACATTTGTTAGCAATCAGAGATTTGCCAGTATGTTATGTTTTTTGTAGTGTTTGTACTCGGTAGTAGCTTGATCAGATCTCGAACTCAGGTGGCTTGTTTTTGTTATGCATACGTTATGTTCACATATGTATAATCTGTATCTGTATAGCTGGTATAACCGCCTTTCGGTGTAACACACCAGCTTCTGTATCTGTATAGCCGGTATAGCCGCCTTTCGGTATAACACACCAGCTTCTGTATCTGTATAGCCGGTATAACCGCCTTTCGGTGTAACACACCAGCTTCTGTATCAGTATAGCCTGTATAACTGCCCTTCGGCGTAACACACCAGCTTCGCCGGCACGCAGCGCGGCGGCAGCTGGCTACATCACACCAATCGACTTGTTACACCTAACCCTTGAACATCTAACTCTAGGCATTGTTTAAAGCTATCTAATGCCTGTTCCTCATCCCTCCCGTAGGATGTATATCTCATGGCCCAGACGCTAGAGAAGCTCTTCCTGCAGAAAGTGGCCCAGATGCCTCCAGAGGAGGTGGAGGTGGCATCACAACAGAAGCCTGCGGTACAACCCAAGGGCAAGAAAGGGCCGCGCAAGGGACCCAGAGTACAAGGTAAGAGCAATCTTGAACTGTACTATTATTACCAAAAGTTTCAGGTGTAAAATCCACTCAAATTTGCATTTGATTCTTGTAAAGATTTGGAAAAAAATGGCAAGATATGTATGTTTGCTTGAATGGCACTGACGAAAGGTAGTGGATGCTACCTGAAACGTCTGACCATTTCCAAAATCCAGTTGCTTGAGCGACTTTTTTTGGGCACATCTTATTACCTGGATGTCTAACCTTCACCAACGTGTTCTGATGTAAATTGATGTCCTAATATTAGTAAACTGTAGCTTTGTTATTTTTTTGTGATATAAGTTGAAGTCCCACTAAGCCGTAACTTTGTTATTTTTTTCCAGCTGCCCAGTCGACGGCAGTCCCAGTGCTGAACGCGCAGCCTCCAGTAACGCAGCCTCCTGCGCCGCCACCCGTCGTGGCCCCTCCCCCGATCGTCCCCACCACAGCCCCCCCTCCTCACATCCCCACAGACCTGAGTCTACCCCCCCAGCCCGTCCAGCACCCCCCACCCCCTCCCGTTGTACAGCCGCCCCCCACGAGAGCACCCCCTGCAAGAACGCAGCAGCCCCGGCCACCGCCCCCCCTGGAGCAGCCGCCACCCCCCCAGCCGATACAGATGCCCCCCCCAGACGCTACCCCAGGGGCCGTCCACTGCACCGGCTCCCATTATCTCACAACCTGGCCAGGCCGTACCCACCAAGGTAAACACATACTGTTACACGGGTTAATGTTATACCTTTTTGGTATATCTTAGTATGGAGATACAGTTTTTACTGCGCCTGCAGGAAACCCTGATTTTCACGGTTTTCGTTAGATTTTTGGTCACCGTTTGGTCGCATTAGAATTTTGCCTGTTGCAGAAGGTGTCTTTTCCAACATAACATTTGGAAACTACAGACTAAGTGATACAAATATTACTTTGTATGAGATGTTCTGCTGAAGTGCTATGCACAATGCATTACGGGTTTCGCACAGGTGCAGTGCGTTCTGCCGACATGCCTTAAGATCCATGTGAGGCCAAACAAATTTGGAGAGTGTTCATTCATTCTAAACCTTCACCTGGCTCAAACCTTCAACCACTGACTTAGCACCAAATTTGTATTGGTTTGGGAGTTAAGCAATTGTTAATCAGCATGATCATGCCGTAATCTTAGCTGCTATGTTCTGAATAGCCAGCCCTCTTGCTGACATGTCAAAGAACAGTAGGGCATTAGTGTGATATCAGTCAATGTATTAATTAGTCCTGCATTTGGGTTAAACAATAGTGTTGTTTCTGTACCAAGGAGCTTGAGCAGACTCCCTCCTGGCCTCTACCACTCATGGGCAGAGCCACTGGGCTAAGGCCTAGTCAGAAGGTAGAAAAACTTACAACAAACCATTTCTCCTAGTGCCTGCCTGCTTTCAAATTCCTTCATAAGTGCCTGTTCGCAAAAACCAACGCCTTTCTTTTGCCTTGTAGGTCTTTTTGACAGCAGTAGTGCCTTCTGTGGTGGATGGCTATAGCTACTTTACAGTCTGCATGACAATATTATGAATGGTTTTGTCCTGCTCCCAAACATGTATTAGGGAATACTGGATCCTACTAACGATAACTTACTTTGAAACAGAAATATTTCTAGATGTGGACAGAATGAAACACCATTCTGTGAAATTGTTACCAAGGCAGACTGCCCTCACTCTACAGTGGCAAAAAGTTTTGTAATTGTATCCAGACCCAGATGTGAAATGGCTTACTCCTTGGAGCCAAAAGTATCCTCCTAAAATGATCACAAATCAGGTCCTGGTAACCAATCAACAAAACTATCAACAAAAACTGATGGAAACTGTAAAGAGTGAAGTGAGCAACCTTAGACTGAGGATGGAGCATGGTAATTTTGGTTAGCTACATTTAATAGTGCAGTGCAGCATCATACTGATACAAACATGTGTCCCACCAGGTAAAGAAGGGCGTGAAGAGAAAAGCGGACACCACAACGCCCACCACCATCTCCACGACAACGGGCAGCGAATCGTCGCCCTCGACAACCGAGCCCAGACCCGCAAAAATCCCTCCCGTCAGGTGGGAACCAGATCATCCCAAAGCTTGGTAATGAACAACACCTGCAGGATCTACCTTTTCTAATCATACAATAACACCCGTCTGTCTTCACATTTAACTGATACACGTGCAAAAACACTGGTACAAACCATTCCTTCGAAATTAGTAAGATGACAGTTATGCAGCCTTTCAAAACTTCCATCCAAAATGGAGAATGGAACTTCTGATTCTGTGTCTGTCTTCCACATTTTAACTGTTACACGTGCAAAAGAAAGAAAGTCAGTGGTGCAAGAAACCCTATTGGCTCTCCTTTGGATTTAGTTTGATGGCATTTACTGTGCCTCCTCAACTCCCTTGAAAACATGCATCCAAAAATGGGGAACTTCTGCTCAGTCCCACAAAAAAAAATTATAAAACATACTGCCCCATCAGAAATATAGTTGCTAGTTGAAAGCAGTATATGAATAGTAGTTATATAGAATATTAGTTGTAATTGTGTATATCCTCAATTTTTGGCTTGGGGTTGTGGGTTGCTGGAAAGTAAAATAGTAATTGTTTGAAAGCACGTTTGAATGTTTAGGCACACACGTTTATGTTGCTTGCTTGAAGATGTATGTGAAAATGAATGACTTAGAAGATGAAATCTTATGTAGTTCGTATTGTTTTATGTTAGATACAGGCACATATAGTAGGTGCTAAAGTTAATGCTTACAGAAAAGTAAAAAAAAAGCTACCCTTTTCTGCACTATAGTTCAGATAATTTTCTTTTGTAAGATCGGTAGCACCTTGCATGTTGTTACGAAAATTTTTCAGTAAAGTACACAAATTTTCCATGTACAGTAGCCCATTAGTGCAATCACGCGACTGATCTGTGTAAAAGAAGCATCATGCCTGTACTGTAGCCCATAGGTACAAACACACGACATATTTGTGTAAAAGAAGCGGCATGCCTGTACGGTAGCCCATAAGTACAATCCCTCGGCTGATCTGTGTAAAAGAAGAGTCATGCCTGTACGGTAGCCCGTTAGTACAATCACTCAGCTTATATGTGTAAAAGAAGCAGTATGCCTGACTACCCTGTTCCTTGCCTGCCAGGAGAGAAAGTGGTCGACAGATCAAGCCGCCTCGGAGAGAACTCCCCGAGACGGAACAGCACAGCTCCAAGAAGAAGGGAAAACTGTCTGCTCAGCTCAAGTACTGCCAGGGCATCATCAAGGAAATGTTCGCCAAGAAACATGCGGTAAGTTGGTTACTTCTCCTCTTCATCCCTTTCTCCTTCCATCTGGATTTGTCCTTGGACACCAGTTCATCTGTCACCTCATACAGTTCATTCTTTCCTAGAACTATCACAGAGTGGAACTCGCTGTCTCCCAGTACAGTAGGGGCATTGTTATTAGATAGCTTAAACAGTGCCCAGAGTTAGATGTTTAAGGGTTAGGTGTAACAAGTCAATCGGTGTAATGTAGCCACCGATTGTTAGCGGGTGTGTTATGCCGAAGGGCAGTTACACCGGCTATACAGATACAGATTCTCCAAGTGGTTTTGGGTCTGCTTCTTTTCCCAACTGGTCTCCAAGTGTAAGTTGAACATGGGGTTTTCTTGTCGTGTTAGATACCATTTGGCGACCATTAGAATTCATGTGCTGCTGTACCAAGTAGTTGGATGTGTCATCATCGATTGACTGTATTGGTCAGGGTTATACCCCCCTTTAGACCACAAAATATAAGATTGTGTGGGATATTTTAGGTCTGTAAACTTTTGGGATGGCTTTACTTTCCAAGCAGCCACTGCAAAATGTGCTGTGCAACGTTAATCTAAACTGGTGATGCTATTTCTTCTGAACAGGCATATGCTTGGCCATTCTATGAACCCGTGGACGCTGACTTACTGGGCCTACACGACTACCACGAAATCATCAAACATCCCATGGATCTGGGAACAGTAAAGGTAAGGTTTTACAATTAATTAATCAATAGTTTGTAACAGTGTTCACCTCTCAATCTGGGCATAGGCACTAGCCACTGGCTGTGATGTTGTGCTAATATCTTGAGAGGTAAGAGTAAACAGAACCCATGTTAATCACAGTCACTCTGCCTGGTAGAGTTGGATTGTTTCATGCCATGGGTACAGATGGATTCATTGTTATGCAGAAAACAACAGCCGACCAAATCAGTACATACCATGTACTTTTGTAACAGCATTGGTGTCATAAGAAAAGGTATAGGTGCTTTGAAAAATCTTATCCAAGTTATTCTGTGGTGAAAATTTAAGCATCAATTTTAATCATTCATACATATTGATTGTAAAAATATCTTTAGAAGATTAGAAATTTGTAACAGAATATCATCTATATTCTAGATGTACTTTCTGTGCAATTTTAAGGTATTGCAATGTTTGAAGTTATTGTTTTCCTTCTGTACAGAAAAAGATGGACACTCGGGAGTACAAGTCAGCGCAGGAGTTTGCATCAGACATGAGAATGATCTTCAGCAACTGCTACAGATATAATCCTCCGGAGCACGACGTAGTACAAATGGCCAGAAAATTACAAGTAAGTTATAACTCTTTTCTGAATGCTATGACTTACATCACCTGGAAATGTTGATAAAGTTGACGCTCTTTTAGTGATGCCAGTCGAAACATCTGGAAGTAATCTCTGTAATTTTTCCAGTAGTTGTTTCCTTTTGTTTCCTTTTAGACTTCCAAAAAATTTGTCTTTACCTATTTGCATATCAATCAATAGTACCTGCTTAAAAACCTGCTTTTCTGAATCTGACAAGTCTCCAGTGTCACTGACGAAAGGTAGTGGATGCTACCTGAAATGTCTGACCGTTTCCAAAATCATATCCAGTTGCTTGTTTTTTTGTGTGTATCTTATTACCAGGATTTCAAACCTTCACCAACAAATCTCCAAATTGGTTTGTTAATTTTTTGGTTACGATATCATTTATTATTTTTTTCCTCCTTGTTCCCCAGGATGTGTTTGAAATGAAGTATGCCAAAATGCCGGACGAGCCGCCGGACCCTGAGCCGCAGCCCCTGCCTGTGCCGCCCCCCGCAGCCGAACCCGAACCCAACACTTCCACCAGCAGCAGCAGCAGCGAATCCTCCTCCGACTCTGACAGTACTGACTCTGAGGAGGAGCGGGAGGCCAGGTTACGGGAACTACAAGATCAAGTGAGTGTCTGTGATCTGGTCGGTTCCCCTTTCTTGTCATCTTTTCTTCAAATTCTCTGCTTTCTAGTGTTAACTTGCTATAAAAATCACAAACCTAGGATAGATGTCTTTTTAATTGATAAGATGATAAAATCTAACTCTGCTCAGATAGAAAACCTAGCAATCAATATCAAGGTTCAAATTTTGCTAACTTTCCCTAGTGTTAAAGATACTAATACTAGATGTGTTTTATGTGTATGTGTACTTGCTGAACTAAGAATGGTGAGGTGGTTTGTCACTGTGGAAGAGTGTTGTTTGGCATTGTAGTTACAAACTACTGCTGGCCAAAGCTGGCAGCCTTATAGCATCAAATCTAGCTCCAGGGCTCGAAATACTTTGTGCATATGCACTTAAGTTCGGGTAAAATGGGAGCTGTGCACCTAACCTGCACTGGTCCATATACTGGGTTTATAAGAAAAAAGGGCAATGGTTTCTTAACAATGGTTTGTATGATCCATACTTCTCTGAGTCTGAATGGTGCAGGTAATTTTCAAAGTTGCCTGCACAAAAAAAGTATTTCGAACCCCGAGCTCTCTTACTACTTAGCAGGGCCTGATGGCAGCTATCTGTAGCACAGAACACGATGCGATATTCAATTATCCGTTCTATTACTGGCTGGTATCAGTGAAACTGTGGAAATGACTCTTTTGACTGTCCCGTCTTTGTTGTCGCTTTGCTGTAGAACATGCTGCACACCAGGCCCTGGCATCAGGTCTGTTCACATCTCTTAATCATTAAACAGACTCACTACATTCGTGTGGAGCTATCACAATCAGTGCAAACGCCAGGGCTTTAGGTCTGCGCATTTCGGAGCTCTTTTACGTCAGGGTTCTCACCAGAGTTTTGTCACAGCACAGGGCTCTTAGCTACCCCTCAAATTCACCACTTTGTGCAAATAAAATTAGAGGGGTGATCAGTAATTCTGTTGAACATTCTACTTGAAACTTTGTCGTACAAGTGAATTTCTCAAATGCACACTTGCACCTTTACCAAATAACATAATTCGAGCTCTGCAGCTTAGGGGTTATTTTTCATCTCTTGTATCTTCATTTTGAAGTCAAATTTTGATTTATGTATAAAGATTTGTGATTGGTCACACAAGAAATGTAGGGAGCTAAGTCACAGCATAGCAAGTCCAAATCACAGCATAGGGGCCCCTACAGTCAAACAGCCTGGTGAGAACACTGAACGTGTACTCTGATACTCTGCTTAGCACTCTTATATGGCGTTTTGAACACTTAGCTCCTGTGGTGTGCTTTAACTAAGGTAGACCATGGTTGCCTTTCCGCCTAAAATGCCCTCCCTGTGCCCAGTTGCTTTAGATGTGGGAACTAACTTCAGATAACTAGATGTAACACAAGTTATACCATTTGTGTCTTTAATGTAATGGTTATTACAATGTGTTGTGTAGTTTGGTAGATGTTAAAAGCCTTGTTCTACTTTTTGTTCCAGTTAAGAGCGGTACACGAGCAGCTTAGCGCGTTATCTGAAGCGTCTCAACAACACAAACCACATAAAAAGAAGAAAGAAAAAGACAAGGACAAAGAAAAGGACAAAGACAAAGAAAAGGACAAAGACAAGGACAAGGAAGACAAACACAAGAAGAAGAAGAAAAAGGAGAAGGATAAGAAGGAGGGAGAAGTGGTCCCTGTTAAGAAAGACGTTCCCGCCCCCGCTCCTGTTCCCCCGCCACAGCCACCTCCTAAACAGCCCAGAAAAACACAGCCCAAGAAAACCAACAGCAGGTCAGTATGCTTCAACTATTGAACCCACAGGAAGTTGGGTAGATGTTGTCAGGCCTAGGAAAAACATTTTTTGTTTCCTGTTTCCCGACCGACCCTAGAAAAACCTGCCGACCCTAGCCATTTTTTTGGGTGTATCCCTGCAAGGGACGTAATTTTTCAAGCTGATCGACCTTTTGATCTGACACCTGAGTGATGAAACGTTGTACAGTAGGTTTTTCAACATTGACATTGAAAATATAAGCGTCCTTATTAAAGTCTTACTTGTTAAACTGTATTGTATAAATTAGATCACTGGAGATCCCCAAAGTCTAATAAAAAGAAAAGAAGGAAAACAAAAAAGATATCCCTACCTACTGACCCTAATTTTTTCAGGACTGAAACAGGAAACACAACATTTTTTTACTAGGCCTGACTACTGTAGGTCACAAAGGAATTAAACCTCGCCTTCCTGCTTTCCTCTTATTTCTGTACTTATAAAGAATGTTGGAGAGGTACATGTAGTAGTGGAACCTGCCCTGTGAGAAGTAAAAGGTTCCTTGTTTACTGTTTCAGAGTTGGGCAGGCAAGGAAACAACCAAGGTGACTCCTTTCATCATTGTAGATATCTCTCTTAGAACGCTTCCTTGCCACTTTCAGTCTCACAACAACTTTTGCATGTTCCTCTAAACATGTAAAGGTGACAATCCTACCTTTACAGTGGCGTATGTAGACACAGGAGTCCTGTAGGGTTGCCCAGTTGTATTGCATGTGCCAGATAACCGTGTTATTTCTTTCCCGGCTATTTCTTGGTATGAGCAAGGACACGAGGCAAACAATATTTGTAGTATGTCGGAGAGTGTATTGGCTAAAGAACATAGCACACAGATACGTAGTTACTGCAAGATTTGAATTTCAACTGTGATCACAGATATCACTGAATGTTTCTGGGTTTTTCGAGAACAAATAATTCTGTCACCGTCATTCACAGGATAACATACTGTAGTCATTCATTGCTTGGATTGCAGCTACAATCTAGTACAATCTAATTCTAATACAGTCTTTGTAGGTTGTGTGTATGAGAGAAATAGTTAGCCTCCGTAGCAGGCTTATAGAACTGGGGATTTGGTGGTCTTCGGCTGTTTTCTGATAAGCCCAGTTAATTCAACCAGGCCGGCTATGTTGTCTATATGCAATCAGAAAATAGCACATAAAAGATCCCAAAGACCCTGAAGACCTCCAAAACCCCGGTTTCGGGCATGCTATGGAGGCTAAGAAATAGCTGCATGTACTGACATACACTTTTTCTTGTGATTTTAGTAGACAATCATCGAAGAAAAGTAAAGCACAGACCACGACGGCGCCAGCTTACGAGAGCGAGGACGAGGATCTGTGCAAGCCGATGACTTACGACGAAAAGAGGCAGCTGAGCTTGGATATCAACAAATTACCAGGTTAGTATAATCCTATGAAGACAATGTTCTATCCTATCATGAAAGTTCATCTGTGTCGGTAGTTACATGTTTAAAGTTAAACTTTTGGTCCAACACAAAAAAGTTCTCTCACCTAGAGATTCCACCAGTCACTCTGGTCTTCCTCAGTAGACTGACCCAGCGAGGCTTGTCACATGGCTTCTTTGAAGTGTGACGTCAACACTGGGTCAGTCTACTGAGGAAGACCAGAGTGACTGGTTGAAAGCTCTAGGTGAGAGAACTTGTTAGTGTTGGAACAAAAGTTAACTCAACAGGTTAGTATTCTCGTACACAGACAGTGTTCTAGCCTGTGATGACGTAATTTTTCTACAGTACTACTACTGCAGTTAGTTACAGATTTTTCAGTGGTGGTTTTGTTTTTGTTTGCCTGCTGGTGGGAACTGGATGGCTGTGTATTTCAGTGTATTGTCAAGTGTTCCAAAGTCTTTTGCATATGGAAAGGGATTCAATGTCCTCTCTAAATATTTAGGGTAAAAGCAAATGTTAGTAAAATGAAATTATCAGTTAGTTATATGAAGTTTTCACCTCTCAATCTGGGCATAGGCACTAGCCACTGGCTGTGATGTTGTGCTAATATCTTGAGAGGTAAGAGTAAACAGAACCCATGTTAATCACAGTCACTCTGCCTGGTAGAGTTGGATTGTTTCATGCCATGGGTACATCCCCTTTCTACTAAAAGCTGTGACTTTTGTTGTCATTTAAATCATACTAAATCATTGCGCATCACATTTTAATTGCACACAAATCCTATTTGAGTCACTGATGCAACAGTTGCTCAGTGATCACTTTCCAATGGAAAAAACGGCCTTACAGATATCTATTCCTTGTAGAAAAAAAATAAACAGCCAATTAATGTAGTCTCTACCAGACTAGCTACGCTGGCTATATATAGCAGAATATTTGCAAACTGCGGCCGGACTCCCCTGGCCAATTTTACTCTCCTTTTTGCCGAATTCTACGTTCCATATTCCCGTAGAAAGGCCTGGTAGAGGCTACAACCAACATGGCACATACAATAGGAGATGGCTAACATTTTGTTTGTGTAAAATGCCTTTCCTAAGGGCACGAGGTCAGTGTCATGGGTAGGATTCGAACCCGGGACCTCTTGGTCCTGAGCCGAACACGCTACCGTTTACGTCACACGACCCCACGAACACAATTGTTGTTATTTTACCAGGTGACAAGCTGGGGAGAGTAGTACACATCATCCAGTCCAGAGAGCCGTCATTACGAGACTCCAACCCTGATGAGATAGAAATAGACTTCGAAACCCTCAAACCCTCCACCCTCCGAGAACTAGAGAGATATGTCATGAGCTGTCTCAGGAAAAAGCCCAGAAAACCTTATGGTGAGTTCTCTTCCTCTGAAATTTCTTTTTATTCTCTCAACCTTGTCAGCTCTTGTGTGTTCATTAGTTCAGTAGTATATTCATTAAGAAGGCAAAAGTATGCTTGTACAATATACCATATGGGATAGATAATGTAGAAATTGTTAAAAGTCCTCCCCACACCACGTGGTGCATAGGGCGTCACCCATCTACGGTTCAGTAGCCCTTGGGCCACACAGTTGTGCAATCACTACAGCAGGGGGCTAGTTCCCTGGTAGTGGTGTGAGTTTAACTCTCATACCTTGTCCCAAATGCTGAGTGCTAAGCAGAGAAAGCAGCATGAACCATTTTTAAAGTCCTTGGTATGACTCAGGACCATTTGATGCAAGGCGAGCACTCTAACCACTTGTCCATTGCACTAGTAGAAATTGTGATAGATAATAACTGAGGACCTCTTTCATAAAAAGTGTGTTCTTGTGTTTTAGCGAAACGTCCGCAGGGCAAGACAAAGGAAGAGGTGACCAAACAGAAGAAGGAGGAACTGGAGAGGAGGCTGCAGGACGTCAGCGGGCAGCTGTCATCCGCAAAGTCCAAGGTGGCAAAGAAAGGTACAACTACCGCATATGCTTATTCTCTTGTGTTAAGATATTATCTTACCTTGCACAGTCTAAGGACTTATTTGTTTGCCTGGAAAGACTTCAAAGCTAAGAATTTAAATACTCAAAAAGGTAAAGAAGTTTAAGGTAGGATGGAATGAAGTTTGATGTTTCAAAAATTCAGTGCACTTTCTTATACATATTTTCATATCGGTAATATTCTACTATAATCTACCAAAGGATGTGATGCTCATAATATTTATAGGCCGCCATACTTAGTATAACTGTGAAAGTGTGTTTTGAAGTTGCAGTGATGTTTAAGTTTCATTTGATTCTGAAGTCGCAGCATTTTGACCTTACGGAGGAAGACTTTTATAGTGGAAGTTTGTTTCTTAAGTTGCAGTGCTGTTTTATCCATACAAAGAAAGACTTCTTGTTTCTGAAGTTGCAGCCATGTTGTTTTTTTTCCATCCCTGCAGAGAAAGAGGCTGCTGCCAATGCTGAAGCGGGCGGTCCCTCGCGACTGAGCGCGAGCAGTAGCAGCTCGTCCGACAGCGATAGCAGCAGCACCTCCAGCGGATCAAGCTCCTCCGATAGTAGCGACTCTGAGTCAGGTAGTTAGACCTTCAGTCCCTCTTCCTCCTTCTGATAATTCCACTCCTCAGTCCCTCACACGGGCCAGGATTATTGTATTATTAAAGCTTTCGCTTCACTGTGTAACTGTGAATGTTGTCGTCGTTTGTAGATATTAAAAAAGAAGAGAAGAAGAGAAAGCCTGTAAAATGCTTGCCAAATTTGTAATCATGTCTCATTATGTTTGGTACTACTATCTGTGGTCGAACTTTTAAACGTAGGAAAACGAAAACCATTTTCCGCAAAGTCTAGCGGTTTTTTTTGTATCTGTATATGTGAGCGTCGAGACCAATGAGAAATGATTTTGTATGAATAGTAATGGCTTAAGTTCTGTCAGCGTTTTTCCTTATTTATTAGGCATAGTAAACGGGCTCAGCACATGCCAAAAAAAAAATTGCACACATCTACATTATTCAAGCCAGTTTGAATACTAAGGGTTGTATGTGTGGATACAAATGCGCATACAAAATGGTGTTAAACGTTTTTTTGACCAATGAGTGCAGAGTGGTGTGCCAGGCCTGGCCAGGGCAGGGTTATATGTGTGGCACCTCCATTAACAAGTCTTATAAAAGTACAGTAGTACTTACCCTTTGTGGTGTAAAACAATGACATGACTGGGTGGTTTTGCTTTGCGAGAAGAGAGAGAAGCTACCTTGGTTGTTACTACGTACAGTACATAGGTGTGTAGCATGCAAGTGTTGGTTTATACCTTGCTGCGGGTGTCTGCAAGCTGCCTATGGACCGACCACTGACGCAGTGCCAACGGTGGTGTCCAAAGTGAGTCTCTGTGGTTCTTCCCACCAAGAAGTTTGGGTGCTCAGATGCCAGCGTTTGTGGGGTTACGGCCTTTTTTTTGGAAGGACGAGGCTAAAGCTACCACTGTGCTGACTGACCAAATCTCTCACTACAACCAAATATGTCTAGACGTAACTCTAGCAAAGACGATTTCATCACTTGTAGATGTAGGGTTTTCGGAGTCTTTGCTAGAGGTGAAGCTCACACGACTGGTGGCAATTGTTGACTGTCCAGTTCAAAATTGGCAGAACTACAAGTGCAATTTTTTTTTAATCTATCTATCGTGAAATTGTGTAAAAGGCAAAATTGTACCAGTGTGTCATGAGACAGGAAAAATTGAGAAATTGCAGACAGTCACACTACTGCCCTGGAGGCTGGCCCCACGCACTGACACTCTTGCACTCTTTGTATACAGGTCAAACTGCTACCTAGTACTACACATGTTCTGTTGAGCAAACTTCTCTTTTGAAATTGTGTGATACTTCTTTGGCGCATCCTGTAGATTTAATAATTTCTTAAAAGTAAGCATATTTTTTGTATGAAAAGCAGAATTTTATTACAGCATTTGTGTACTTCCAGCACATACCTGTTAATTAATCATATTAGGACCTATTTGTATTTTTTGTACCAGCACGGAAATGTGTAGAAATCAGTAAAAAGCAGTGTAGAATTGTGTGGAATCAACGGGTGAAGGGTATAGAAAGATCTACACTTGTTGACGATATCAAGAGTAGTGTAGTTATTGTATACATGTCTGAGCCCATCATGGAAAGCTATTATATAGAACTTGGTGAACAAGTTAAAGGAATTATGGAATGGCGAAACATGGGCCAGAACCTGTACATACTCTTTAATTCTGTATCTGTAAGGACTCGAAATCATTCCTCAATGACTGTGTATGTAACAAATAAACCTTTCCCTCTTGTATACCAAACTGTAGAGTTGTTTATTTGTGTGTGTTTTAAGTGTGTCGTGTCTATATTATAGGGAGGTGTTCACCAACCCAACCCTGATGGCATATAGCTCTGCACTCATTCTGGTGTTTGTAATAAAAAATGGGGGGTTCAACATTGTGCCAAACATGGCTGAAGCCCAAGAGGAGATGATCAGAACATTTTGTGTTTTGTGATAACCATTTCTGGTTATATATGTATGTGGACTCTACACAATGCAAAAAGCAATTAGTCGGTAGCAACTGTGGGAAGTTGGGAACAGATATAAACTAACCAGGATGGTACCCAGGCTAAAAAGTGCTGATACTAGCAACAGAAACCTTGCCTCATTAGCAGCTTCTAAAAATCAGGCTTTTTTAGGTTGCATATAATTAATTGCTAACCGGATGTCTAGCGTCAAAAGTGTTCATTAAAACTGGCCATGTACAGAGTCTTCTGCCCCGAATGGCAAATGGATACTGCCTGGCCAATTTCATACTGTCTTTGCGACCCCCAAGAAATCTACTTCATTAGATTACTTCAAATACACTTTCCTCTGATGTTATATCAGTCTCTTGTAGGTTGACTCTAGCTCTGCAGAAGGGCGTTTTTCCTGCCCTTTTTGAGATAGAGACAATTCACAGGAGACAAATACATCAGACAAAATTGCATTATAGGCCCCCCCCCCCCCCAAAATCCTAACTTGCAGGGCATGCTAAGGAGACAAGTTGATATGACAGTGATACATAACGATGGATACAATGACATGGATAAAGCAGTATAGTTGAAATAGGCTGCTACTTGACCTGTGTCTTCATAAGCAACTACATTTGCATTACCAAACCAAAATTGCTGCATAATGAAATGTAAAAAACTACTTGACAGTAGGATTATAGTGTTGCTACCAAACCTCTGAAAGGGATGCAGAAACACATGTACTGGCGGTTGTCTGTCACCCACATGGAGATCAAATATGAAAGTTCGACAAAGATTTTCCAAGATATCTCGCCCTCCCTCAAATCGCCTAGCTACTAGATGTCATTTGGCACACAAAGTATGGATGCAGGACAATAAGTAACACAATGAGCCCTTGTGAATAAAAGCTTGTGTCTGAGAATGGAAGCAAGACGGGTAGAAAAATGCTTAAAGCAGGAAAATTCCCGACATTATGATGAGCCAGAATGCCAGACCAATAGCACACAAGGCCCAGAGTTAGCCAGTATGATCAGGGTCTGAGGCAGTTGTGATACAATTTCCTTGGGGGCAATCTCCTTCCTGGAGCAGATGAGCTGGTCTGTGTAGGCCCTGGGAACAGTCAGGCACTCTTGTACGATTACTACATAATTGCAAAATCCTCCCACTACAAAATAAATCACTGGGAAAGTGTAACGTAAATGATTTTCCACTAGCAATTGAAAGTACAGGAGCAAAAATGATAAGTATAATGAAATACATGTACCAAGCAGTACAAGATATAAGCATTTCAAGTTTAACACTAGGTAAACAGCAAGTTGGTAAGGGGAGGGGCACTCTTGATGCTAACATGGACCAAGAAAGACCTAGTAGTAAACACTGAAGTAGTCGTTCTGTTACAGATTCTATATTTGAAATGGGTTCGCAGAGAGATGGTAATGGCTAGAGAAGGAAATGAGAAATTTGTGGGAATTTGTATATATTCAGTTACTTCCCAGTAGAAAGTGTCAGAAAAACCCTTCTACATTTAAATTCTGTAAAACAGCTTATAAAAGTCTGCATAAACACATCAGGACACAGATGATTTTTGAAGTTGCCAGGAAATAGCTAAAACAGGAAACATGAAAGCACAGGGTGGGTATCAAGACATTTCATTCTGTGCATGTGTGTTAGTGAAGTGTTGAAGAGTACAAATGTATCTCATATTTGTGCTGTTTGTGAAGTTAGAAACCAGTCTTGGAAGTCATAAAAAGTCATATCAATGACTGTAAGGATAAATTCATGATCAGCTGCTTTTCTTTTGTGATAGACCTAGTGCTATCACCTGCATAGTTATTAGGAACATTATGGCTGTAACATGGATGATATGATTTTGTGAAATAGTTTTTGTCTTTATTTTGTTGTAATAATGGATCATACCTTTTCCATCATGATTGTCATGGATAGTTCAAGCTCCTGTTTACAGCATTTATGAATACTATTATTTGTGAACCCCGATTTTGTTGGTCTCGTAGCTGATGGTCAGTGTTTTTCTTCCTTCAGGGCCAACACCAAAGAAGCAACGCACAAATTCCGGAAAAGAGAACAAGTCAAAGGTAACCATCAGTATTCCCATCTCTTGATTGAAATCTTATTCGATCTTACCCGGTATGAAAAATCTGCTGACTGGTACCATAAATTCCTTGAACATACATGTACAACTTTTTGCAAACAAAAATTGTAAACTTTCAGACGAACTGTTGACAGTCAGGTTTCATCAAAGCAATTATATAATCTTTGCAAGACTGAATACGCTGGCTAATTTGAGAGAATACTTTTCCATGAGAGTTTGGCTTATCAAAGGGGTTGCCCAGCCAGCATGCCACAAGAAGGCATAAATATTAACTCTCCTGTGGACTGGCTCTCCTGGCCAATTATACTGTTTTTTTCCTAGAATCCTATGATCCGTAACCCTGTGTAAAAACTAGTTGTAGGCTAGCAATCTTGGATGTCTTTGTTGATGTGCTGTTGCTCTGTCTTCCAGAAATCCAGCTCTTCCAAGGAGAAAACTCAGGGTGCCCCCACCCCTGTGGTGGCCCCCCTCCCCCCTGCCCCTCAGGCGACAGCCCCAGCCCAGCCAGTAGCCATGCCACCAGTACAGCCAACTGTCCTCCCTCCCGTACAACCTCCTCCTGCTGTACAACATCAGCACCAACCTGTACCTGTACAGCAACCTGTTGCACCTGGTAGGTACAGATACATCTACCCAACAAGGATTGAAGCGTTCAAAAACTCATTCCTTTCTAGAACTATCACAGAGTGGAACTCGCTGTCACCAAGTACAGTAGGGGTATTATCATTAGATAGCTTTAAACAATGTTTAGAGTTAGATGTTAAACATGTTTAACAGTTAAAAGTTTTAGATGAGATTGAAACTATAGACCTGTTGTTTGTCATGTCCAGCGCACCACGCCAGCCTGCCCCCCCAGCCCAGCAGACCTAGTGCCAAGGCTGCCCCCGCTCCTCCCAAACCTGTCACCATCAGACCTCCGACTACACAGCTGCAGCAGCAACTCAGGCCTCCAGGTATGTTACACAAGCCCCTTTCCACTTTCTACTTTCCGCAGTTGTTAAGCAACCAAACTTGTAGCCTAGTTACCAAAGCTATTTAGCTGCTGAGGCACTTTCGTGTAGTAAGGCTGGAAGAGACTAGGCGGCTAGATTGTAGCCTTATTACCAGAGCTATTTTAGCTGCCTAGCACCTAGTCCCTTCGGTGTGAAAAGGACGAAAGAAATTAATTAGGCGCTAAAATTGGTTTGCTAACTAGGTTACCATAATCTCACCAGTGTTAGTAGATACTACCTGAAAGGTGTGACCAATTCCAAAATCATATCCAGTTGCCTGAGTAACTGTTTTTCGGCGCATCTTTCCTGGATGTCTAAGCTTTATTGATGTACCAAAGTTGAATTTGCTTGACTCCTGCTTTTTTTTAACTATGCATAAAGATGATGCACTAAGCAGATAAGTGATGCAGAATTCAAGCTGATTGTCTTTATACCATGAATGATAACCTCTTCATACCCTCTTGCTCTGTTTCTAAGAAAAATGTTTGCTCCTGTTTTCCAGTGACCTCCCCACCGCCACTGGCCAGCCCACCTCCACTTATCGACAACAGAAGTTTCCCCCAGATGCCTTTACCCACCCCCCCTCCCGTGTCCGTCCCCCTAACCCAACCCCCTCCCCTGGCCACCCAGGCCCCCCCTCCCATACCCTCACAGATCGAGCAGCTCCTAGCCGCCCCCAGACACCCCCCCTCCTACGACCAGACCGCCCCCCTCTGGTGTCCCCCCCCTGTCGTGAAACCCCCCCGAGGTGAAGCTCCCATCCCCCCCCTCCAGCTGCCCCCCCTCCCCGTACCAACTGGAGAAGAAGCAGGAGAGTCGAGTGGAACCCCCCCATGTCCAGCCTCAGGGGGCTCCCCAGGGGGTGCACAGGTTGGACATGTCTGGTCTCTCCCCCTCCCCACCATCCTCTGTACCCTCAGCACCTGTGTCAAGACCCCCTCCTGCGCCGACTGGTAAGAGTTCCTCACTGTCTTATGATTATCTATGCCAAAATAATTACCTATGTCCAAATGGAGGTACTGTTTTGGGTCTGTTTGGTGGATAGTATTCCCAAGTACACTGGTCAACATAACTCAGAAAGCTATGGATGGATTGTGCTATCAGTAAATGTGCTTACCGGTTGTATTTGGATGTGGGTCAGTCTACAGTTACTGTAGATAAAAGTAGCGCAGCAGAACTTTTTGTATTTTTTGTTCTGGACATGCAGTGGTCATGATTTTTTTGGTGGCAGGTGGCTTTTGATTTAGGGAAGAAGTGGTGTAGACTTTGTGACGAATTTTGAACATGCAAGTAACCTTCATTCTGTAAATGATATCCTCTTCAGACTCCTGTTTTGCTATAATATATGTTTCGACAAGCTCCCATTTTGAACAGTTAAAAAAAGAGTCTGCACAAGCTAATGAGCTGAACTCACTGATACTTGTATCAGAAGCTGATTTCTTGTTTTGACAAGCTCCTGTTCTTATACTAGTAGTTAAAAGTGAGACCGCTCAAGCTAATAAGTTAAACTCTTGTATGAGAAGTTGACACAACTCCTCTGTGTTCCCAGGGAGCACAAACGGTGTGTCCCACCCGAAGTCCCAGCCTGAAGGTCCCAGTAAAGCTGACCTCAGCAGTAACCCTGCCACACCGCCTCCCTCAGCTGTGGCGCAGTCTACACCGCAGCAGAAAAAGGTAGATATACATTTAGTCTAAATCAGTCCTTTGCAGGGTCTGATGCATGGCGGCTGCAGACATGCATAGGTCTTGTTAGGTTGATCTGCTCTCTGGGATGGCCTACTCTCCAAGCAGAGGTTGATGGAGGAAGATCGTTACCTTTTTATATATGCCCCATTTTTTTGGTTTTTTGTCGCTACCTGCAACAACAACAAAAAAACAACTGGGCATATATAACAGACAACATTCTTCGCCCATCAACCTCTGCTTGGAGAGTAGGGATGACCCTCCCGTCAGTTATTTTGACCCCAGCCCTGGTCTTCCCACCTCCCCCTTGGGCAACCACTTGGGCATTTCTAATTCTATATCAGGTTGGGTTGTGATGTCAGCAGTTTAATCACAGTTTGAAAGTTAACATAAAAGTAAAACATTTGGACTATCTCTGTCTTATTTTTCGTGAAAAATCTACATTATCTTAGGAACTAGTCCGTCTTCCACAATCGTGGTTTCATAATTGAGATGGTGGTTGCTGTTAAGTGTTTTGATTGACTCCGAGTCATTCATGTGCATTTGCATTTCTCATGTTCACAGGACTTCAAGGCGCGAAACGTGAACCCCTGGGCCAAGCTGGCGAACCAGAGCGCTCGGCCGAGTGTGAACAAGTCCACGGCTGCAAACAGCTTCGAGATGTTCAGGAAACAGGCAAGGGAGAAGGAGGAAAGGGTGTGTTACATTTCTCGTACAATCATACTTTTTCTCAGACCAGTTTGTTAACATGCATATACATACCCCAAAAAGCAGTTACTCAAGCAACTGGATATGATTTTGGAAACGGTCAGACGTTACATCCACTAGCTTTCGTCAGTGACTGAGAGACCAGAGGAGCTTGAGTAACTGCTTTTTGTCATATCGTATTACCTGGATGTCTAACCTTCATCGACGTATGCATAATTATACATATTTTACTATATATTACACTGTAAATGGTAGACATTGTTAAAATACATGTACATGTACATGTACTACGTGCTTTTGCAACACACACTTGTCTAAACTGGACACAAAATGTCAGAACCATGACTTTTGGTCAATCACATTTAGCTAGGAGCAAATATGTGTTCCTGAAAACTTGTACGAAAAACAAACAAATAGGTAGGAGCATTTTTGTTACAAGAACGAAACAAAGGAATGATACTCGATGATTGTTATTGATGTGTAAACGTTGTATTTCAGGCGAAGATGCTGAGACAACAGGAGGAGCACAGACAGCAGCAGAGGGAACAGGCTGAACGGGAGAGACTCAGGCAGGAGAGGGAGAGACTGAGGTAAACTCAACCAAACTGTCTTCTCCTTTTTTCTTTCTTTCAGTACAACTAGAGATGGCCAGCAGTTGAAATTGCTTTCCAAAAGAAGAGCTAGATATCTGGCAGAACCAGCCAAACGTCATCTGCTATGGACTTTACATATGCATGTGAAGAGAAGAATTTAGCTAATTTAGAAGGACATGAAATTTTCTTAGCATGAAATGCAAACAGTTTTGGAAACTTGACTGTGTTTAGTCAATGACAGCTACATTTGTAGATGTCCAGGTTATGTGATACACAAGAAAACTTAAGCAACTAATAGATTCATCAGTCATTGATTACAAAGTGGTGGATGCTACTTGAAACATGTGACAGCTTTCAAAATAAATCCAGTTGCTATAAAAAGGTGTAGCAAGCTAACAAAGAAAGTTTACGCAAGAGAACTGTTTTAAACTTTTGGACTGATGATGATAATGATTGATAGTTGAAAAGGGATTGATGGATTTTGTGGCATGTGTTTTTGTTTCCCCAGGGAGCGTGAGGAGGAGGAGATGCTAGAGCGAGCCCGGCGTTCCCAGGAAGCGGCGCGGAGGCAGCAGAGTGAGGAGCGACGTCGTCAGGACGAGGAACAGCGACAGAAGGACGACGACCAGGAGCGGCTGGAGAGCGAGCGGCAGAAGATGGCGGCGCAGCGGGAACGCGAGCGACGCAAGGAGCAGGAGAGACGGCGACGAGAAGCTGTGAGTTACATCCTCACTCACTGTTTTAACCTCGGGGCTCTGAATGCTTTGTTAGGCACTCACTCACACTCACTGTCCTGGTTTTGATTATACTGCTGTCGGTTTCCCTGTCCCAGGGGTGGGCAGCAGACGGCTGTTCTGGACACCTCGCCTCCAGCTGGCTCTGTCCTGTGGGTCTGTGCTGGACAGACCACACTCCTTGATATCCTTAGGCACTGGTGCAGTTAACATTTCAATTTACCTGCACTACTCAGATTTTAGGAAGTATGGATCATACTGAAAACTGACCAGAAACCATTGCAATTGTTTCTTTTCCACTTCGTTAGAAATGTAATACAATGACATCCACATACAAATGTATTTCGAACCCTGAACCAAGGCTTAAGCAAGCATCTCTTGTTTCAGGACATTTGTTAGCTAGATGCTGCAGTAAGAATAATTCCTGCAAGGTGGCATTTATTTAGAGAAGCTGCAGCAAGATATGTTTCTGCAAGGTGGTATTGTTGTACTGTTAGTCACTTTGAGTTCAAAAGAGTGATTCTTTCCCTTCTTTTCTGGACAGATGGCTGGTGGCATTGACATGAACCAACAACACGACATCATGGCGTCCTTCGAAGAGATGATGTGAGAAACAAAGTCGCGTCCGCTACAGTCGTGTCTCTCAACGAAACAACGATCTCTCCCTCCGCTACAACTTCCAACACCTCGCTGTCCATAACAGAAGAAACCAACATGGTGCAGGTCTTGGGTCGGCCGAATACGGGCAGCGTTCTTACCATAAAAACTGCGGGCGCTCTCTCTCTAACTCTGCTGTAAAGTTTTGACAACGGCTGCATAGTCTGAACACCTTTATCTGGTATGGATATACCTCGGCGTTGCTATCAAACTGTTGACATAATAACCATTATAAAACATGGTGTTAGTCCTGTAAAGTATGTGGCCACAGTGTTGACGGTGTCGTCAGAATTTGGGTCGGCGTCCGACCGTTAAATATTTCTCAAGGCTTCGGCCTAAATTTATTCCTACAATACAGCCATCATCTTGTTGATAAGTCATAGAGAAATATTCCCCACTCACTGCGTATTCTCTCTCTCTGTATCTCTCTCTCTTTGAGATTTTGTGGTTCTATTTTGTAACTTCTCAACGGCATGTAAATTTAGCTGCTGTATAAAATGTTGCTTCTAGTGTTAGTACACCCCCCTTACCTTAAATAGACCCCCCCCCCTCTCGGGGAGAATGAAGACCTTTTCCAGGCTTGATGGGAACAGCCCAACACTGTAAATACCTCATTTCGCTCGTTCTTTGAAGAGATATGCAAGAATATATTGTTATTATGATAATACCCACTGGCATGTTGCATGTTTGTTGAGTGCAAAAAAACAAAGTGGTGAGAAGTCCAGGGTTGTAAGATTGAATATTGAGGACGGTACGAAAGTCTGCAACTAACTGTACAGTCCGGAGCTAAGATTGGGACGTTCTTGTGAATTCCTAACATAGCCAGCTAGCGTCGTCCATGTACAGTTTAAATGGATTTTGTCTACCAGTAGAGCTTCCTTGCTCTAAGAGAGGCATTTTGAAAAGTGCTTTCTTTGAGTTAGAAGCAAGGTGCAACTGCTATGTGTAAGCAAAAAAGTGGCTGATAGTAAAAAATAAAGTAGTGCCATATTTTCTCTTGTATAAAGGTGGCTGTTCAACTTAAAAGCCGAGAAAAAAGAGTATAGGTGGAATAATTTTTGTTTCGTTACGTTTTTTTTTTACATGTTTTTGTTGATATTTTTTGATGGGGATGTTCGCTTGTGTTACAGCATTTTCAACGCCCTACCAAACAGTTGCATGCTATCTTGTTATATAAAATGTTGTGAGGGAAATAAAATATAGTATTCTTCCTGAGAAAATAAAAAAGTGTTGTCCGGAGAAAGAACATTCCATGGTAAGGTTCTGTAATAAACTACGTTATGTCACTCTGACATCCCCGACAACTCTACACTTACATAGCTGATCATTTAGCGTCTTTTCAATTTCAATTGTACAGAAAGTAATGTATGTGAATTAATTAATTCTCCCTTCATTTTTGCAACTTTGTGTACAGTTTTTCATCTTTTATTACGATACTATAATTGACACGATGACTAGGGAAGGTTTGCCAAAATTGTATTCGAGTCCCAAGAACTATTATTGTGGAAGTGGTGTGCAGTCTGTAGCTATTGAGTAGCTGCGGCTGCGAGGGTTTAAAAACACTGCAGGGCTCTAGCTTTGTCAGTACTTATGTAGGACCAGTGTTTTTCTGTGTATGATCAATGTATTTAAGTGGCATGGATGCCCCAGGTTACAAATGTACAACAAATTGTTGAATAAAGCACAATCAAACTGCATCTTGAGTTTCTGTCTTTGATGTTTGCTGTTGGAATATCGTAAGTGTACTACCATGGAGCTATGATACATATTGATACTACTACAATTAGTGATGCGTACCGGTTCACTGGACTTGGATCCGGACTTGTGAGAATGTTTAGGTTCAAGTCCAAAAAAACCTATAAGTCAAGAACCGAGTCCGGACTTACTACCATAAAAGACCATTTCACATACCCCTTTTCTTTCCAAACCACCTAAAACCTTCCGTAGATTGTAAAATCTTTGCTGCAAAACGAAGAAAACATTGCCATCGGGCATCGTCAAGTACCGGCCTCCATGTCATGTGGCCAAAGTTTCACCCAGACAATATTGCAAGGTTGCCAACATGCAATTTTGTATATGCCATGGGTTTAGGTCCGGACTTACAAGTCCGGAACTGAACCTAAACCTCTGGACTTGAATCCGGACCTGAACCTAAAATTGGGTTTAGGTATGCATTACTAAGTACAATGTATGCAGAAAGTGAAAATGTATATAATATGTGTAGTACTATACATAGGGAAGAGAATAATCGCAGAAAAAGAGATCATGCTTCTTTTATTCCTTTAGTAGTTGTACGAAGTACAATTTCAACATCTTTACATGTTTGTAAGAGATATCCTCTTGAAAGTCTTCAGGATGAAATATCCAAATATTTCTATCCTTGGCAGTAATTTCATTTTGTAACTTAAACGATGCTCTGTTTTGACAGTGCGGTTCAGTTGCAGTTACAAATTTAAATCCAGTTGAGTTCAGCGACTGCGCTTGGCTCCCCTTCCTCGGTTCTTGCCTGTGTTTTTGGAAGTCATAGACTTCTGATTGCCTCTCATTTTTTTCTGTGGTACTGAGTCTTCCTGTGTGGAAAGAAAGAAGAAATAATTCAATTGCAATACCATCTTTTCAAATTTGATTCATGTCACTTTAGATCAATGGATCGACTTGAAATTTAGGATTTGTAAATGTGAAATCAGCCTAACATATTAACAGCATCTTGATAGGAGTTTCTGTTCACCTATCAGGCTCTCTACCCTGACATAATACAATTGCATTCACAGGATAGAAAAAAAAAGACAAATACCTGATGTTTCCTCTTGCCTGTTGCTGTGACTTGTGAGTCGTCAGGCTTCTCGGCACCTTCAACCTCCATGGCTTCCTCCAAGTCATAGTCTGAGTCTTCTGATTCAAAGTATTTGGCTACAAAAGAAAATAAAAGTTGCTTCAAGTTGATAATCATTTGGCCTAGGGAAAAAATGTTGTTTTCCGACCCTAGAAAAAACTGCCGACCCTAGCCTCTTTTTGTCATAAATTTTTCAACTGACCGACTTTTTCTAGCTCCATGATGTAACACCTGAGTGATGAAACATTGTACAATCGGTTTTCCAACATTGACATTGAAAATATAAGTGTCCTCGTGCAAGTTTTACAATGTTTGAGTTGATTCAGAGGCTGAATTTTTTTTCTTCTTTTTTTGCAAATTAGAAGGAAATGAAGCAGGTGAATCCGTGAACCAACAAAATAAATTGTGTGTGACTTTACCTGGGTACAAGTCACTCATGCTGTCATCTGAGTCTTCTTCACTTTCACTGTCTGTGTCCTGAGTCTTGGAGAACTTCTTGTCCGCGGAGCTGTCGTCTAAACCGTCGCCCTTCTGCCTGCTCTGTCTGCCGAGGGGGACAAACTTCTCTCCTGTCCTCTGGCACTCCTCCCCTGGAAAACAAACAGCAAGGAATGAGATACATGTATTTCCTTTGGACATTTCTAAGAACATTCTGCATCTGAAACATTCCAGCCACTTTTGATTCATGTCTGATGTCATCATGCTCCTGACTTCTGGAGCGTCAGCAAGTGGGATCACTCATCTGACGAAGGTTGACGAGATCGATTGAAAATTTATGGTGAGTTCCCTTGTGTTGGAAAGGATAAACTCTACAACTATGGATTCAACCAACACAGATGAGCTTTCATTTGAGCATTCTTAAATATTATCTCCGCCAACAAAGACGTACATATGATATATAGTAAATACACAAGGTCAAGGATCAGATGTAAACAGAATAGAAACACGTGTACTAGACGTACATCTTGCCAGGGCCTTTTTGTACCTCCTGCCGTTGACATGCCGGTACACGGCACTGGGCAACTTGTTCAGGTGGCGGAGAGTCAGCGTACAGAACAACTCATGTCTGAAAAATACAGCAAGCAAAACAAGATACATTTGTATAATCTGCAATGAATTTCAGGGATAATGAACAATTACTTGAACTTGCTTGTGTTAATTGAGGCAACATTGAACAATGGAAAGATGTTAGCTTTGTGCCAGTTATCAATTTTTGAGATAATGAATGGATGAATGCTAGCCTGGGTACCATCCTGGTTAGTTTACGTCTGCTCCCACAGTCGCTACCGACCAACCGTCAGGATGAAAACTAACCAGGATGGTACCCAGGCTAGATGAATGAATGCTTTATTCAAAATACCGGTAAGAAACTCTCTGAGCTTATTGGCTGAAAAACATCTGATAAACCAAGCAGATGTCTTGTTTTATCATGCAGGTTAAACATGCACTAGGAAGGCATTTACGGTGGCATGAAATAATGCATAGAATATGTACAAACCGGGCCCTTCTAATAAAGGGCATGACTCTGAAATCTTCAGTATTATGTTGAGTTTGACATACCGTCTTTTTGGTTTGTCGTTAGGGATGATGTGAGGCTGGAACTTCCTGTACTCGAAGTCGTCCTCGGTCTGAATCCCTGATGCCAGGTTTTTATACTTCTTACCCCTGACATACGTCTGTAGTGACGGGAGGTGGTACGGTAGCTCATGGCCAGTCAGGGTGCACAGGACCTGGGGAAGAAGTAATAAGTGAACATTCAACTACAATTACAAATGTAACATTTGCAAAGCAAATCCATAACATGGTTACATTCACATGGTCTAGCCTAAAAACTACTGTTCTGTATTCTTACTCAAAGTCTAACACACTCATATATATATATGGTGACCAGCCACTCCAACTCTGTACTCTCTGCAACCAAAAAATTGCTACATGATGCAACCAAGAACTTAATGTTGAACCTCCTTGATGTAACCCAACACCACAGGGGCCTGGGTGTCTGCACCAGTTACATGTTCCATGATGACAGCCGTCTGGTCTAGGTCATTGACCTTATGTGTTTGCAGAAAAAGAAGTAGCAGAGCAAAGACAAATGTTTTCCCTCTGGTAAGGTACTACACATGATGTACTAGTAGTAAAATTATATAAACGGGCACACGTTGCGTTGTACACAACAACAACAAAAGCATGTAAATATTTCCACCATATAAATAGTTACGGGTATTCAAACGAAAACTATATATACGAAGGGGTCGTCTAAATGACAGAGATTTATATTCTCACCCTTTTAGAATCCGGAATGATCTGAAATCCGGGATGAGACGACACGAAATTCCGGACATCAGCTGGCACGTTTTCAGCGGGCGCCGCCATGATGGGGTCAACTCGGGTCATTACGAGGGTTCATATGGAGTATTTCTGTCGCTCAGCACTTCCTCGTCCCTCTTTGATTCCACTCAAATACAACATTACTGGAGAAAATTTTGTACAAAGAATAAATTATGCTTAAGAAATAATAAAAAGCACCCGAATATAGTATTGTACTGTCCAAGTAACGACTAAACATTTCTTTCTCAGCCTCAAAAACTTCATACAGAGCCTTCAAGATGGCGGCTCTTGCTGACTTAGTTGCCGCATCACTAATCGGTAAGTTTTCACAAGTTGCACCGTTTAACAACAAGTTTGGATCAAACACGGCTGTCGCGGCGTCTTTATAGTAATAAGGAATCCCATCTTTTCTTTGAAACTGTTTTCTGTCTTCCCTGGAGTTGTAATTTTTCGAGCGAAGTCTAGATAAATAAAAATGGGGAGGGGCCAAAGTTCCCCCTTGTGACTTTATAATGACTGAATGAATTTAATTATGATAACTTTACGTTGGTTAAGGTCTTAAGGACATAGACGGATTTCTGTAAAGGTGAACAGACTCAATGTCATGTCAATCATCGCTCTTTTAGACACTGCCAAAACGATTAAGTTAGGGCCATATAACTTGTAAGGTTGAGTGTCTTTGGCACCAGAGCTTATGTTATTTGTTTATTTGGATATAACGTTTACGTTAGCTGTACAAATTTTAATACAATGGAGGCAGAGTGACAAAACAGATGATAGTTTAAATCACCTTTACAAATTGTCTCCCCCAACAACACACAGAAATATGCCAGAAATACATCGATTCAAATGAACTCCAGCAGAAATTTATACTTCCTGTGTGTGTTGCACATGCAGGGGTGTCAAACTCGGAGATTCAAGGACAAATCTTAAAAGAAAAGAGGGAGTAGTGTTACACTGGGGTTCAAGTTCACATTGTAATTGCGCTGGTGTCGTAAGCTGGCTGCCCAGGTTCCACACGGGTTCAATTCCCGGCGTCCCAGGAGTCAGGGGTTTTCCTGTTTCTACTCGTCCCTATTTTTTTCATAGAGAGAGACAGGAGTGGGGATGTGCTGTGGACGTGGTCCTACCCTTCTGTAAGTCAGGAGCAGCGTGATGTCTTCACCAGGAAGTCCCAGCTGTCCGCCGACCCCGCCAACATTCCCCCGTTTGTGTACGGGCAGTGGCGCCGGCAGTGGTACTACATCAAGTCTGCTCAGGTGCAGGACGGAGACCCACTGCCTAAGGTACATGTACTACTCTACTTTCTTTCTTTTTCCTTTTTTTTTTCTTGGCTTGGCTTCGTGTACTACGAGTACTCTACTACTAACTTTGTAACCACATTGATGACCACAGTCAAACCTGTACATTTTTCAGTGATTGGCCAATGTGACCACTTATTGTAGCCTGGTTTCCAAACCTATCTTAGCTCTCAAATCATCCTCTCTGCAAATTTAAAAAATCTCACTACATGCAGAGAGGGTAAAAGACTTGGGATCTAAATAAAAACAGGTAACCAGACTACACTAGTACTTATTGGTGATTTCTTAGACTATAGTTAGTGAATTTTTCCCATATTGACACAAGTCCTATCTTCATTGAGAGAATATTTTCCATTGACACAAGCATTAAGAATCCTGTCTACAATGTCCACCTGTTAATTTATCAGTCCCTGTGAGACCCTTGATGAAACTTTTTTTCAGGTGACACACTTTTCCCTAGTCATCGTGTCTAAAGACTTTAACCCAGAGAAGTACGAGACATTTTCCCGTATCTTTTCCCTTGATAATAACCTCACCATGATTCTGTATTTTCAGGTGATCCACTTTTCCCTAGTAATCGTGTCTAAGGACTTTAACCCAGAGAAGTACGAGACATTTTCCCAGATCCTGTTAGTCCCTTAGAGAATTTTTTCTATTGAGACACGCATTAAGAATACTGTCTACAGTGACCACCTGTTATTCTATTAGTCCCTGTGAGACCCTTGATTAACTTAAGATGAAATTTTTTTCAGGTGACACACTTCTCCCTAGTCATCGTCTCTAAAGACTTTAACCCAGAGAAGTACGAGACATTTTCCCGTATCCTGTGCAAGGCGTATGCTCGCACGGGCAGCCCGGCCGCCATGCTGCAGTTCTACCTCGCTGTCGTCACGCGCGGCTCCTGTCAGAGCGAGGAAAACGGAACCTTCCTCGTGAAGGAGTTCGACCCCAGGAAAGCGTACGCTGCGGGGTCTGTCAAAGGTAACAGAACAAACATTGAATGAGGGCCTGCAAGGGGGGGGGGGAGTCCCAACAACGCTCTACGCTGAATTCGGAAACCTCTCGATTACGCTTTACGATACATTCCTAGTGGCTACAATGCAGTACGTAGAATTAAGACAGAGAATTTTCATCTTTTTCTTTCTTTCCTTGTTCCTATTTTATTTTGCTTTACTTTTCCAAAAAAATTTCTTTCCATAAACCTATATCACAAGTGATATCTGTGCCAGTCCTAATAGATGGTTATAATGTTCAATGTCTGCTGCAGACCTAGTGAGCAGGTTTGGAGTGGAGAGTATCCTGATCTACACAGCCGTCCTTCTCAAAAAGAAACTGGCCGTCTACCATCCTCACCTGGACGGCCTCCTCCAAACTGTCAGGTAGGGCAAAGGTCAAGCTGAGCACCTGTGGGTACAATGTAGCAAAACTTGAGTCCAGCTAACAATTCAGGCCAAAAAATAGTAAAATTTAGCCAAATAGGAGAATGATTGCCCGAGTTAAAGCTGGTTAGTTGAATAGAGTTTGCAGTAGAATACAGCAACACACCAAACTACATGTAGACCAAAATGTTTGCCTTTGTTGTAAGTGCATTTTTTAGAAACTGCATTTCTTTGAGTAGTCACTAGGTGGGGCCACAATGACACTCTCTACACAGCTCTCCATGTGCACTTTGTTTTGCCCTATCCTCTACCTTGGAGGTAGAAATTCACACTACCCTCCATGCCTCTACCAGGCCTGTCCAAGGGGATATTAATACTAAAATTTGGTAACATTGGGATCAATAATTTGTTAGAGAGTGAGCCTACTCTAGTAAGGGTTCAAAACAAGCTGCCAATTATTTTAAAGTCTTGTATATATTTCTTAGATTAAGCCACAAACTTCAATCTCTCGCTGGCTGAAGCTAATTGACCCACTGCCTAAGCGGGCATCAACTGTCGGGTGGTACAGCCGCTAGGAGTGTGATTTAGTCATGCTTTAGTCATTCAGTAAATAAATGTAATTTCTGCCAAATGTCTTGCTCTTGTTTTCACAGAGCATTCCCCGCCTTTGTATGGCACAGACAAAACTGGAACATCCTGTACCCTAACGTTGATCTTGTAGAGGAAGAGTTGGATGACCTGAAGTCGTCAGGACACTACATCGCTGGTTTTACAGACCCAATGGTGGAGAGCAGGACGGATCTGTACGACGTGTTTGTGAACCTGTCTGACAGCGAGGTTTCAGTCGCACCGCAGGCAAAAGGTGTGAAGAATAAACTTCAACAGTTACTTAATTCAAGAGTATGAAATATTTATTTAATATTGCGAAGGTAAACATATTGTTTTTTCTCTGTTTCTTCTTCCTCTTCTTCTTCAAACAAATAAGGTCAATGACCTGAGCCAGACGTCTGTCACCATGGTAACTGCTGTTGGGTTACATTGTGTTGCAATTTTATAGCAGGAGGGATTTAGACTCCTGTCACCATATATATGAATGTGTTTGAGTAAGAATTAACAGAGCAGGCCATATGCGAAGGAAATTATGCATTTGCTTTGCAAATGTTACCTTTCTAGTGAAGTCTTTCATTTCGTCTCTTCATGTTGAAAGGAAAATTCATCATTGTTTTGTCAAATTTTTTTCTCCCAGAATCCATGGCGATGGGTAAGATCCACAAAGACATCGCCATGGCGATGGTGCAGTGTGCAGAGGATGATGGGATGGAGAACCAACAGGTCATCAAGGTAAGCCACTGTACATCAGGGAATGAGGTAATGAGTCGCACTGAATCTGCAGACAATGTCTTTCAGTTTGTCACAAATTTTAGTAGAAGTAAATGTTTAGATGAATACATATTATCATTACTGGTAGATCTGCTTAAGATTGTGAATGTTAGAATTAGGCCAAAAAAACAACAACAGCAATCCTTAATGCTGCTTATTAACTGCCTTTTCCTCCAATCTTGTTTGTTTGTTTGTTTGTTTATTGTTTGTTTGTTTGTTTGTTTGTTTGTTGTTTGTTATAACTGCTCAAATACCTTTAGGCCTAACATGCCAGATTTGTAATGTCACAATCCCCATAAGACCAAACTTAAAGTTTCAATCCACTGACACTGGGAAGGACCCCTTCAGTACTCTTTTCAAGATGTTAGTTTTGTAAGGTCATCGACTGCTATCTTAACCCCAAATACCCTTAAGGAGTCCCTTAATCCTGCTTGCATCTTAAGACTTTGTCCTCAGCCCTGCCGCTGAAGGAGTGCTTCTTCCAAATAAGGCGACATGCCCCCCTCCCGCCTGGGTCCTCCTGGGCTGTTCTATTTCTATTCTTCCCCTCGACCTTCGCTTAAAGGTCAGACCTTGCTAATTTGGTGAAAACAACGAAGCAGGTATTTTATCTTTGGCAGTGATAAAGGATGTGACGTCTAGTCTGCGGATTTGATCTACGTAAAAGTTGTTGTCTCCAAATTTTGCTACCCCAGAAATTTTGGCTACTGTTCGTAAATACAGTTACTATATGATATAAATCTGATATTATAACTAAGGTCTTTGACCATCAAGCTCTCAACTCTATGTACATTTGGGTCCATTTCTAAAGCACTATCGTATGCTAACAGCTGAGACATTCTATTATATAGTAGAGGGGATTCATTCCTCAACCGACATCTCGCACACGCAGTCGTCCCTCAGTAAGACATCGTTTCCGCATAGTTCCCTCCGTAGTGCTTATAGAACTGGGGGTTTGGTGGTCTTCGGCTGTTTTCTGATAAGCCCAGTTAAAAAAATGAGGGTAATGCAACCAGGCCTGCTATGTTGTCTATATGCAATCAGAAAATAGCACAGAAAAGCTACCAAAGACCACGAACGGCACGAAGACCCCCCAAACCCCCAGGTTTTGGCATGCTATGGAGGCTAACTTTTATTCAGCCTGTCACACGACCGGTTTTGCCTGTGTGGCTTCTTCAAGTGTACAGTGGCTAAGTCAGCCGAGAGAGTGTACAATACCATAATGAGAAACAAGAAGCCCTGGGCTTATAAGTATGCCTGTCTGGTATGTTGTGTTGACCTGTAAATAAGGCTTCAGTAGTTTTCCAGTTCTTAAGGTTGTTGATCCGACTTCCGTTTGGGCTAATTCTGTCAACATTAGAGTCAAATGGCCCATTAGGATATTTACCAGACTATTATGTATATGTGCTGTCAGTAAACTAGAACAGAGAGTGTTCCAATTCAGGGCTCCAGCCAGCTTGACATTTTTTCTGGTTAAGCCCAGGTTTATCATTGGATTTTGGGAGGGAAGTGCCGTAGGCGCTGTCAATCTAGGGGGGTCCACGGGGCATATGCATGCTTCTCCAGGAAATTTGGATTTTCAAGCCTTCAAAACGCAATTTCCCGCATTTTGAGACTGAGGCAAGTCGTGATGTTGTGAGAGTTCTTGTTGGTGGTCCTTTGGATGTTTTCATATTTTTTTACCCAAGATTTTTGTTAATTTTGTGTGTAGGGGTTGACGGATTGGTTTAAAAAAAATTTCCGTCACATGGCACAAAGATATGGTAAGGCCATACCAATTTGATTTGATTTGATTTAATTTGATTTAAAAATATGAAGTGACAGGGCAAAAAAAAAAACAGGCCAAGGCACCCTATGATAGCTGGAAATGTTACAATATGAGCCATGAAGTGAACATACCAGGCTGGTTTATAATCAAAACAATAGATTTTGAACTTTTAATGAAAAACTTTAACAACTAGGAAGAAAAGGACTTTCTTCAACCATTGGGGCCAAAATATGTCTTTCATTGAGCATTTTGCAGTTAATTTAGAACCTAAAAAAAAATTTTTTTTTTTTTTTTGCAAATCAGAAAAAAGGGACAGAGTGAATCCGAGAAACAACGAATTAAATTGGTGTGGCCTAATTGATGGGAAAACAGGTGCTAGCTGGTGTTCCAATTGCTGGACATGGTGCTTAGTGAAAGGGAAACTGAGTAAGGCTGGGCGGAACTCAGGTTTAATCTCTTGGGAAGTAGAGTTTGTAGTTACTTTCAACTCCTTAGATCAAGATAACTCCCAACTAAACAGGTGCTTAGATAACAGCATTGCTACATGTGTGTATTAGACATGGACATTCGTGGCCTAGTATTCACCCCATTATATTCTAGCCCTTGTCTGTTTCTGTGATTGCTGATTTCTGCAGGAAAGTCAGGCACCCATCCCCATTTAAAGGTTTCGCCTGTATGTCAGAAATTATGTTGAAAATGGATTATTTCTTTGAAGTTCCGTGCTGTCAATGATCAATCAATAAGTCAAAGTTTATTGCTCAACAATTGTAGCAGGGACAATGTAAAGGATGGCTACCAATGCCAGCCTTACATTGATGAAGGTTAGACATCCAGGTAAACAATATTCAAAGTAGATAACTTCTGGACATTTTAAGTGACACTCTGTCACTCTTCTTCAGCCCAAACCAACACTAATATAATCACATGTGAAGAAACTGGAAAAAAAAACAGTTGAACATGACAAAGACTTGTAAGTGGCACTATTATGTAAATGAGGATCCTCAGTGCTCTCAATTCATTTAGTGATGCTGAAGAAGAGTGTCGGATGTCACTTGAAATGTCCGAAAGTTATCTCGAGTCAGTTATTTATCCAGTAGTAAACTTTTTTTTCTTTGAAGATACCTGCCATAGATCTCCAACAAAACTCACACCTTCTGTGCATTTTTGTCCACCTTCTGCAGGAAATTGCAGTGAAGACAAAAGAGCTGCTGAACAAGGTCAAGTCCTTGGCCACCCCTGCCGAAGAGGGTGGGAAACCCCTCATCACCCTGGATGCCCTGAGAGAAAGAAAGATGGCGCCGGCCAACGAGAACTTCTTATTCAGCCTGGCAGCGGCAGAGGGGCTAGCAGAACTCTGATAGGAACACCACCGTTGGATACAATAAAATTAGGACATTTGTATAATATCTTCCAAAAAAGTGATTATGATGGAAATAGAAAAACTATGTACACTGTATTATGATATAAAGAGGAAAGTACATGATGAAATTTGAAAATTTGTAAAATAGCTTTCAAGTGAATGATTATGACAAAAATAGGAACACAATGAAGACTAAAGTACATGTATGATTGTAAAATTTGATACTTAGTTCATGTAACGTTATCCCACCTAGAATCTCTTTGGAAATTTTGAAAATAGTTTCCTGGGTCAAAGCCACAACATATTGTTAGAGATGCAATAAATGTTACTCTGTTAGATACATGTATATTGTATTTGCATTCCAAATTTAGATGTTTCATCATATACGAATAAGTATGACTTATGCTGTCAAATGTTGAATACAAACTGTACTGTTTTGTAAGACAGTTTCTATTATTAAAAAGAAATGAAACCTATTAGAAAAATTTTTAAAATACATGTAGTTAGATCTATCTACACAAGGGAAGAGTTTTAAAAAGGTGAGTTACTAGTACTACATTTAAAGGATAAACTAATTTAGTGAAATTTTTTTCAAGTATGAAAATCTATAGTGTTGAAAGAGTTTTGAAACCAATAAAGCTGAATATAGGAGAGACTTCTATACTAGACGATGCCCCCATTTTTTACATTTCTGGCACAACTTTAGGTATGATAGGCCATTAATTCATCACTATCATTAGGTAAAAAAAGGATGAAAGGATGCCCTTATGTATAGTAGCTCTTTGAATCACTTTCACCTAATGCTAATAAATAATCTGCCACCAAACGTTGTTGTTACATATTGAGGCCACAAATCGGTAGGTGGAGGTTAGGCCAAGGACTTTTGGTCATCAAATCAGGATCAATTTTTAATCAGAACATTGAGAAAGAACTAGTGATTAATCAATCACACAGGCATCTTTCTGGGAAACGAAGCGGAAACGAGATAGTAAAAAAAAAGTTTATTCATCAACATTACAGAAATAAAATATACATGTGAATTGTGTTAACATTACACAGAACTAATAGCACACTGTACAATGTATATAACAACGTAAATTTGACCACCAAACAATTATTATATATAAAGCCTTCTTGGTGTAATTAAAAGGAAAGAGTTTTCAGTCTGGTTGTCTGTGTTCTGAGAACTGTGATACCTGTTACTAGACTTATATATATTAGTATGGTTAGCTGTGACATCTGAGTCGTTCTGTCAGTGTAACCAGGTGCCTGTTTTCAAAATCAGGAAAAAAATTAATGCATGCTAGGATGTCATCCACAAAGTTTACTTTCTGTGGCCCAAGTGAAAATCTGTCTGATAATGACACACAACTATAATCTGCAAGCAGATCCTAGGGTGGCAAATTACAGTATCAAATTGGCCAGGCAGTATCGACAGAAAGGGTCCAATACGCCACCCAAGGATATAACAGTCCAATACGCCACCCAAGGGTGTATTGGTGTCTTTTGTCACCCTAGGATCTGCTTGGAGACTTAGCCTCCATAGCATGCCAAAAACTGGGGGTTGGGGGTCTTTGGGAGCTTTTATGTGCTATTTTCTGATTGCATATAGACAACATAGCTGGCCTGGTTGAATTACCCCCGTTTTTAGAACTGGGCTAATCAGAAAACAGCCAAAGACCACCAAACCCCCAGTTCTATAAGCCTGCTATGGAGGCTATTAAAGATTATGGTTTTGTGTCATTATCAGACAGATTTACAAAGCCATGTATTCTACTGGGAGGTTACTGACAAGGTGACATTGCTTCACACAGAGATTAATGACTGACATTTAAAGGCATTTCCATTCTTTCATCTGAGAGTTCAGTACACTACTGGCCATGGCAGGATGGAGTGATAAATGAAATTATGTCCCCAAACAGGGAGGAAAAATCAAAAGATGCGTGAGAGGACTTTGCCCAATCTGGCATTACATGGTCACTGATAAATTGTGTCCTTATATTCATGAGCCATGATAATTCAATATCTTGCTTCTCAATTTTTTTGCAGGGAAAGCCTGAGCACATTAAATAGAAATAAAAATAACAAAAGAATTTACAGGCAACTAAACATTTTGAACTACTGATGCATTACTGAACAAAACAAGAACTGAATCATCTCAAAAGACAAGGATATTCCTAAACTATTGATGCCATGGCGCCAAAATATGAACATTTTATGCTTGATGAATGAAAAGAAAATTAAGTGACGATCGGATAAACAAGAAATTGACTTGGAGCGGCCTTACAGGTATGTGTTGTAGGGGAAATACAGATTAAACTGTAGGGATTATTGTATCATTGCATGATCCAGTGACAGATTAACATAAGTCTCAGAGTGAGGTATTATAATCCGCACAAATGTAGTGTTTTGGATGACAGCTGCACCTATTTCTGCCCGGTGTTATGAAAGATTGATGATGATTGGTGACAATGGTGGTAATTTGCAAGTAAAGAAGTTGCTCTGAATCTGAGCCCTACTTATTTAGTAAGCCATTTGTAAAGCGAGAACGACATGAAAGAATATATTATCCAGCTCAGGAAATCTTTCATAGCTACAAGATGTCTTATTGGAGTGCAAGGTTTATGTTTAGGCCACACCGATTTAATTTTATGGATGACATCCTCTGAAGACCCCCAAACTAGTGCGCGCGGGCGAAAAAAATAAAAATCCGGCCAAAAATAAAAATGCTACAAAACCACAGGAATACAAACCTGGTATTGTGAATTTGGCGCATTACATAGCGACGTATACGACAGGCCGACACATGCTGGATTTTTGCGGAATATATGAATCGACACTGCTGTACGTATGTACTGAGTTCTTGAGTCTTGGAGCTTCGGTAGCCTGGCTGCCGTCAACCAGAGTTATCACCACCATGCACTACCCAGGCCTAAAGCCAGGCCAGAGCCTCGGAATACGTGATCTTTTTTTTTTTTTTTTTTTTTGAGATCGGGCGAAAATCAATGCGCGCGCGGATGTCATCCATAAAATTAAATCGGTGTGGCCTTAGTGTTAGACCATGTACTAACGTTACATGTATTCGAACAGGGGTTCAAGTAGGCTTTGGCTTTAATTTTGCACGTTTTAGGCATTTTATCGGGCTCTTATTTTTTTTTACGCCAGCCTACGCCAGCCTAACAAATGAAATGGTAACTGTCTGGCAAATGCATACTGCCTGGCCAAGTCGTTGAGCCACCAAAAGAACTGCTTGGAGATTTAGTAAAAAGTGTTATGGAAAACAGGTCAAGACAATATCATAAAATACGCAAAAACCGTCCCAGATCTGAAGACAAGGACAGGGTGTGATTACCAGTATTAGCGGCGTTATCAAAGGGCACTGATATGAGTCTTATACAAATGTTTTTGTCTGTCATCCGTCCGGCCCATTGGCGGCGTCGCAGTACAGTGATACTTTATAAGGCTGTTCGGAATGGGCGTTTTAATGTAATCTCCTAGTCCTAGCCTCCATAGCATGCCAAAAACTGGGGGTTTGGGGGGTCTTCAGGGTCTTTGGGAGCTTTTAATGTGCTATTTTCTGATTGCAGAAAGAAAACAGCCGAAGACCACCAGACCCCCAATGCAGTTCTATAAGCCTGCTAACCGTAAACGGAGGCTAGCACTAGTGATACTTTATAAACCTGTGCAGGCCTCCGCCGGGTGGCCGTTTTGATGTAATCTTCGAAGTTCGAACCAAACAGGTCTTTTAGTGGCTACAAAGACAGACAGTCAGACAGATACCTTTCTTCAGGCAGTAGGGAAAAGGTAACTGTCTGGCAAATGGATACTGCCTATTAAAATCTGTCAAAGCCTGAGGTTCAAAAGGAAATCTCTATCTTTGCAGCTACCGCCTCACGTAGAAGAACTTTATTACACGACAGCATATGTTTTACATGGCGTATGGCAACAACTACTACATTTTGTAGTATTGAACGGAGCACAAAAACTATAGAATAAAAGAATAGACAATACGGGGCCAGCATAAGTCTTTATAGAATGTTACAATCGAGTGGGGCTAATCATGATTTTCTGTATTTTTAAATGACAAAGCAGTCTACCTAATTTGCTGGGTTTTGTTGATCCTAGGGTGGCAAAAGACAGTATCAGTATCAAATTGGCCAGGCAGTACCCATTCGCCAGAGAGGGTCCGCAGAAATTCGCAAGCATCAATGCATCATATACAAACTGAAAGTAACAAACGGTGGCCCGAATGGATACTGTCTTTTGCCACCCTAGGATCTGCTTGGAGCCTCAGAATTATGCAGTATGTACTATAAACAGTTTTTATTTGCTGATAGATGATGCAGTTTAGTAGGTCATTGACCGGGCAAACATTTGTGGCGACACCTTGTGATACAAACAGCCTGCCGAATATGTCATCCAAGGGACACACCCCCAGGCATTAGCACATGTGGACACACCCACTCAACGGGACGTCCGGACCAAAAAACCCTGACACCAAAACCTAGTTCGTATTTACACATTTTATACACAGATTTACTCAAACAGCAAGGTATGTGGCAAGCAGCAACCTTGTCCGTCAAGTTTTGCCCAGTAAAGTGTGAATAAAGTGTTTAGAGTTGATTGTGGGCCGCTGAAAACATGATGGTGCGTTTTAGCTCTCACGTGCGCATCCATGCACGTGGTCTAATCCGGGGGACAAAATGGTCCCACGGGAGATTGACCAATAGGAGCGCAGCTCTCTTACGTCAGGGGGTGATTTCTATGCTGCAAGAATGATAGGAGCGATCTGATTGGTCGGATTTCTTTCTTGACGTCACCTTGTTTTGGGCGGCATGTTGCTTGGCACGTAACCTGAAACGAGTGGGGAAAAGCACGAAATGCGCGCCTTTTTCCTCAGTTTTGAGCAGACCACAGGTGAGTGTAACACCTTACGACGCTGCCTCTTTTAAGATGAGCCTATCATCCACCTTTGTAAGAAATTACAGCTAGAAAGGACGCCTAGTTTTTGTGCTAGACGGATTTTTTTGGCGAGCACGTTGTTGCGTTGTTGTGTGGAGGGGGAAGTTGTGGTTTGGGCATGGGTGGGCATGCATGGTTGTGGCGGGCTTTTGTTTTGTTTTCCTGCTTGGCGCGTCGACGTGCTTCGGTCTGGCCGGACTTTGGAGCCAAAAACATGTCCGTACCTTTGATCAAGAGGTGGCAGAATTGTTGACAACACTTCAGTTGAACAGTGTGGTGTATGTTTTTGTCAGCCTTCGCGGTTTTGGGGTGATTTTTTGTTCAACATTCTGATTGCGCGCCAAAAAAATTAAGAGGACTAGAAGGCACACTGAGCACTTGCCCGCGTCTCCGGAGAATTTTTACCTAAAACTATCATGTTCTTGTCAAAAATGGACACTCTGGATAAGGTGGTTTGATCTGTTGTGGATTTTTATAGGTTTTGAACAGAATTT